CACACACAAGACCACAAAGGTGTAACACCTTCACTACTCAGAGACACCACTGTGGTACAATAATGCTCATCACAGTAGCAATATATTCTCAGACATTCATCACAGATAGTGGTCAACAACTTCCCAGAGGCAGCATTGAATAACAAGCTTAAGCACACACATGACCACAAAGCTTAAACACACACAAGACCACAATCATAGTAATTGAAGTTAAAAAAGGTGACAGGAACTTCCCCACTTGTACATTGAAGCCCAAAAATTTGGATCAGGGCTTGGAAGCAAGATGTTCAGCATATCGATGTGTAGATGCATGCGTGAATAGAGCGCCTGAGAATGCTCAATCCCACGTTTTTCACATCCCTCTAGGTCATCAATCTCAGTGTCGAGAAGAATTAAGTCCCCCTCCTCGCTCCCATGAAGAAAAACGTTGTCTTTCTGTGATTCAAGGTCGATGACGTCCTTCATGTCTCTGATCGGGGCAACATCGGCAGCATCGTCCTCGCTATGGATGACGATGACCTCGTCCTCCTCCGTGTCATCAGAGATGAAATTCACGTCCTCACCTCCACAATCTTGAAATTCCGTCTCAGGAACAAAAGATTCAAAACATAAATCCAACGATTCCATTGCAGATCGTGGAGGAGAAGGCGATTCCATTGCAGATCTTGGAGTTGAGATTGAAAATCTCAATAGATAAGATAAAAAGGGAGTGATTGAGGTTGGGTGAGGTTGGCGAAAGAGAGATAGTCCGTAAATGAGAGGTTGGCGAGAGATAGTAAATGAGGGGTATTTTTGGAAGAGTATTGATAAAAACGTAGAGTGGGAAGATTATTTCCGGACGGAAAAAAACGTAGAGTGGGAAGTTTATTTCCGGATGGAGGGAGTATAACATAGCCATAATAACTCTTAAGTATTTAATATTTTGATATTTATGCTAATTTTATATTCTAATTATTTTTTTAAACTAGCTTTTTATATTGTTGGAGTGTAATACTCAAGCCCAATTTTAATCCACTTTTGATGGCCAATTAAGGGTCTAAATTGTTGAGAGGTACAGCTGGTTGGATATATAATTCACGCACAAAAGAAAGGAGAAAAACAGCCGTAAGAGGAGAGGACTCCGCTGCCTTTTTCTTCAAAACGAAGGTCTGGTTTTTTGGTCGATTGGAGGTCCAAATCTTGTCCGATCGAGCTGAAATTTTAGGATGAGTCTAAGGACTCGTGGAGCTTCAATCTGAACAGTGGAGATCGAATTTCAACGGTTCAATCTCAAGTTATGAGCTTCGCACCAGCTGCTGTTTTTTTGGTGATTTCTTGCACTTTTGTTCCTCTATTTTGATACTAGTGCCTTCGTAGTGTTGTTAAGGGCTAGATATCATTGTGGTTCTGTTATATGGTGCATTTGTACTCTCAATTTGGTGGTAGTGGAGTTGGTTGGACCGAAGGGTCTCGTGGTTTTTTACTCTTTCACATTGAAAGGGTTTTTCACGTTAAAATCTCGTGCCTCATATCGCTTTATTTTTTGTGCTTGGATTATCTTGTTGCTTGGTGTTCTTTGGTGTGTTTGTTTGTTGCTCCTCACAGATTCATTCAAGAGGGAAAGGTGTTGATCTTGGGCACTACACATTCATTTATGTTCTTGCTTTCCAACCAAGTGGTATCAGAGCGCTGGAGTAATCTGTTATTTGTCTTGATTGAATGATGGAGCCAAATTACAGCAGGATGATCAGTTTGAATGGCACAAATTATCACAAATGGAAGGGTAAAATGAAGGATTTACTCTTTGTGAAAAAGCTGCATCTACCGGTGTTTGCTACTCAGAAGCCAGAGTCAAAAAGTGAAGAGTGGGCTTTTGAACATGAAATGGTTTGTGGTTTCATTCGTCAGTGGGTAGATGATAATGTCCCGAATCACATCTACAATGAATCTCATGCTAGAACTCTGTGGGACAAGCTTGAATCCTTGTATGCATCAAAAACAGGGAATAACAAGCTATACTTGCTTAGGCAAGCTATGAATCTGAGATTCAAGGAAGGTTCTTCTATTTCTGACCACTTGAATGAATTTCAAGGGTGTTTTTATCAGTTGTCAGACATGGGCGTAAAGTTCGAGGATGAGATTTTGGGGCTTTGGTTGCTGAATACTTTGCCTGATTCTTGGGAAAGTCTTCGTGTGTCTTTGATTAGTTCTGCTCCCGGTGGTACAGTAACTATGGAGTATGTCAAAGCTGCCATTCTGAATGAAGAAGTGAGACGTAGAACTCATGAGACATCTACTTCAAAATCCGATGTCTTGGTTACTGAAAATAGGGGGAGAAGTAAAAATAGAGATTATGGAGAATTCAAAAAGGGCAAGAGCAGGAGCAAGTTCAGATCAAAATACCAAAATGTTGAGTGCCACTATTGTCATAAAAAGGGGCATTTGATGAAAAATTGCTTCAAGCTGAAGAACAAAGACAAGAACAAGCCAGAAGGGAAAGATGGTGAAAATGATCGTCATGTTGCTACCACGACTTCGGGTGATCTGATAGTTGTTTCTGATAACGACTTGATTAATGTTGCCTCTGATGAATCAAGTTGGGTTATTTATAGTGGTGCCGCTTCCCATGTGACGTCAAGGAAAGATTTCTTCACATCTTATACTCCAGGTGATTATGGGGTATTGAAGATGGGTAATGATGGTCGTTCACAGGTTGTTGGCATTGGAGTTGTGGTCCTGGAAACAAAAACTGGGATGAAGTTAGTGTTGAAGAATGTCAGACATGCACCAGATATTCGCTTAAATCTAATATCTACTAGTGTCTTGGATGATGAAGGTTATATGAGTACCTTTGGTGATGGGCAATGCAAACTCAATAAGGGTTCTCTTATTGTGGCTCGTGGGAAGAAGTGTTCAGGTTTATACTCGACCAATGCTTCAGTCTCTATTGATTCTGTCAATGCTGTCGAGAGTGATAGTTGTTCAGAATTATGGCATAGAAGATTGAGTCACATCAGCGAGAAGGGTCTTGATTGTTTAGCCAAAAAGAATGTTCTGTCAGGAGTGAAGGATGCAAATTTAAAAAGGTGCAGTCACTGCTTGGCCGGGAAACAGAACAGGGTGTCCTTCAAGAGTCGTCCATCTTTCAGAAAACCAGAATTGCTTGAATTGGTACATTCAGATGTTTGTGGTCCTATGAAGACAAAGACGCATGGTGGTGCACGTTACTTTGTGACATTCATTGATGATTGCTCAAGGAAACTATGGGTGTATGCCTTGAGGTATAAAGACCAAGTTCTTGGGGTCTTTAAACATTTTCATGCTTCCGTTGAGAGAGAAACGGGAAAGAAGTTGAAGTGTATTCGCACAGACAATGGTGGTGAATACCTTGGCCCGTTTGATGAGTATTGTAGACAACAGGGCATCAGACATCAGAAGACGCCTCCCAAAACTCCACAGCTCAATGGCCTTGCAGAAAGGATGAACAGAACATTGGTGGA